CCTGTTACACTCTGTTCTTGTCAACGATGGCAGGCCCTTTCCATGCCATTATGAGTCACGACTTCACAAAGGACATAGATAGGTGTTGCGCGTCTAAACCTGCTTTTGATTCTCAACGGGATACACTGGGTCGCGGAAAAGTGAAAGAATTCATGTTGTCCTTGAGCGTGGCGTTTGGGAACGAATATTGCTTAAGATACCACGATACATCGATGTCTTTACTGGATTGCTCGGGAGGAAGACTTCATTCAGGGTAAGGCGAGCATAGAGATGACTAGGACCTCGCTACGAGCTGGGCTGTTTCCTAACAGAGTTGCTCGATGTAGTTGAGGAACTGGTCCGAATCGCCTTGAGCGCCGCATAGAGAGCATTGTTTCTTGGACAGGTCGGCTTTAGTCAACATACTAGACATAGAGGTCAAACCCGCTCAATCAGAGTTCATTTCAAGTCTACAGGGTCTACCTAAGTACACAACTCCGCACAACTCCTGCTAGCGGGCGCTTGAGACTTCACGGAGGAGATTGACATGCTCCTGGGAAGAACCGGGCCACTTGGAGTGACTAGTTTCAAGTGTATCGGTGCAGTTCGACACGTCTCGGTGTGTACCCAGTGGATGCGAAATCAATGTAGCACCGCAATGTGCGAAGATGATAAGACCTTGGTCCACAAGAAACGGATATTCGTAACTCGCAGCTCTACTATTATCAGCGAGAGAACCCTTCAACCAACAGTGGACAGGGAAGCCCTGGTGCCTTGCCTGGAGCTTTCCCGCAGACTGCAGCTAAAGGAACAAGCTCAACTGCCGCCGATCAATCATGGTTGAATGCTGCTCGTGTTTCGTGCATCAAGCCATGGCCGCCGGGTGATGGAGGAATGATCTCCCTGCGTGTTGGTTCGTCTCGAAGGACTCGAGCTAGGCCATGAAGAAGAACAATGGGCGGAGTCTGACCAGGAGATTTTCCCGCGCTTTGAGAGCACTGAGCACCTTTCTGCTAAGGGGAGCTGGGGGAGGCAAAGGGGGGAACGGCACGTGGTCACGTTCCTACCCGTCAGACTGCAGGTTAATTTTCCGACTTTGGGGTCGTTGGGTCGCCCTTTACTGAGCTTTACCACGAATCCACCCGCCAGTCCTGTTGGCTCCTGCAGGTCGCTGTTGGTCCCTTCTTCAAGTCCCTTTCAGTAAAAACATCCCCGGCTCAGGGCTCGACACCTCGCCCTCCTCCCCCATCACTGGCCACGTCTGCAGCTGCCTATTCCAAACCTCCCTATCCTTTTCATTGCGCGTCGTTCTACCGTCGATGAGGCTGCGATACAGCACCAGACATGTCTTCACCCCTTGAAAGATGACCTCCAGCCCGCCGACGCGGCTTCTCTGCCAAATCCCATCCCAAATTTCGCCTGTCCGTCGAACTGGCCCCAATTGGCTGTAGCAAGAAGCCTTTCCCCTGTCCGCCTCCTGGGCCGTTCCTGGCCGTTCCTCGACTGTGCATGCCCTCCTGCACCATCACCTCGAAACACTACTTCCTGTGGCTTCTCTCGCACTTTCCACCTGCAATGTGAGGCATGGACTATCACAACGGCATTGCATCTGTCGAACATCCATACGACCACGCCTTGACTGCTCAGCCCGACATTGATTCCTCCCCCCTCGATTTCGCGCAAATACCACCGCTGTCCTACCGCCCCGAGACCCCCCCAGAGTCAGTTCAGGTCATCTCCTCACTCATCGACTCCCTGAGTAAAATATCCGCTTCGTCGTATTTGAACCAAGAGCCGAGCGCGAACGGCAGTATACATATTCCTGGGGACCTGTACAGTCGTTCCAATTCGACCGAACCACCCAATGCAGATGACTTGGACAGGGAGCAGCACGACCCCCCTATCACCGATGACAGTAGCGAGGGAGAGGCCGCCGCTGCGCCGGTGATTAAGTACGCCAGAAGGCCACCGCTATTGTCCAAACGGTCGAGCAGATCATTCATCCACTCCCTGAATATGTCTTCTCAGCCTGCTCTAGCCGCAAGGGAATCGATACAGAGCCTGAGATCGCGTGCAGAGTCCGACAGTGTGGGAGTGCCTAGCATTGAGAGACGGAATCGTTCTAGTGCCAGCTCGACCTTCTCATTTGTGAGTGGTTTGAGTGCCCCTCTGAGGAAACCAACAACCGAGTCAATGCGCGACATGGCTACAACCAGACCTATTCCCAGGAGAGTCTCATCCGACAGACGGCGGAAGGCTGAGTCGCTTTACAGCATAGATCAGGAGAAGGAGAACAAATTGCCGACTCGCGCATCATCCATTGATGGCCATTCAAGCATAGGAACACAGCTAGATCCGCCGCCCTCTGAGAGCCCTACAATCGCTGCGCTGCGCTTGAGCAGGGGCGACTTGGGAAGCCATATGATACCCTCTCGTCGGTCGTCGCTCAGACGTAGCGTCACAGGTCTTTCAGACGCTTCACCGGACCAGCACAATAGATACTCTTTTTCTGGTCGCGACCTGAAAGAGCTAAATATCGACTCCGAACTGATTGAAGGCGATAACTCGACTGTAAGGCGGATTCGGGAACTACAAGAAGCCCGGGAGAAGCGTCAGAAGGAGTGGCGAAATGAGGCCAGGAAATCGGAGCGGGCTGCGAAGAGACACACTATTGCAACACCTAAATTGTCGTCACAGAGGTCAAGCCCGTACCAGACTTCGAGGCTCTCTGTCACCGAGGTGGTGGTGGAATCGCCCGAAGTGGAGAGCCCGCTTGACCTGTCTGCAACAGTCACCGCATCGGATCTGGCGGACATGCCTGCCTTTGTCCCAGAGGCCCCTAAAGAAGGAACGCCAGTTGCACCCCCTTCTATGGCCCCTGTCGCGTCGACTCCGCCGAGCGCAGCCCCATCCCGACGCAACAGTATCTACCGGAATTCTGTGACTCAAGGGAAACGGAGTTCCATCACCCATACAGCTAAGCAAGAACCCGCGCTTGCGGAAATGAAGTCGATAACGGACGAGGTTGAGGCTTTTCTCGGTGCACCGCGTTTTACGCAGAAAATACGACATCCTCGTACCGGCCGGACGATCACCTTTTCAGAAGTGGGAGATCCAAACGGATTTGTTGTTTTATGTTGTGTAGGTATGGGTTTGACTCGATACCTCACAGCATTTTACGACGAACTGGCCAGGACTTTGCGCCTGAGATTGATCACACCTGACCGACCTGGAGTAGGCGCGAGCTCGCCATTGCCCGAATCCCAGTGTACACCCCTGAACTGGGTTGACGATGTAGCTGTTATATGCAGTTCTCTAGAGATCACAAGGTTCTCTCTCCTTGCGCATTCCGCTGGCGCAATCTATGCTCTCGCGACAGCCTTGAAAATGCCACAGTATGTACGAGGGCGCATTCATCTCCTCGCGCCATGGATACCACCTTCCCAGATGCACAAAGGGGCAACAATAGGATCAGACTCCCAACCTATTGCCAATCTTCCTTTTACTCACAAGATCCTCAGCGTTTTGCCAGCACAGATTCTTAAAGTCGCCAACTCGAGGTTTTTGACCGCGACAAGTGCCTCTGTAGACACGAAACCGTTGAAGTCGAAAAAGGCCAAGCAGCAACTAGAGAGTATGGATGTGACGTATGACTATCCCTTCCAAGATCTAAACGACGACAGTTCATTCAGAGCCACCCTTCCTGACTTTGAACCGGAACGACCTCGAACTGGTACGCCCAATAGAGCACGAGCTCTATCGTGTTATCAAGCCAACAATGAAACGCAGGGAATACTAGGACCACCCGTGTCCAGCCCCAAGGCGGATTCTGTTCGGCAGGCATTTTCGTCTACAAAGGCTTCTACTGCGACTTCTCGACCCCTGTCACCACGCCTGAGCTCCGAGACACGTCAAGCACTCTATAACCAGACTCTTACACATCGCATCTGGACGCTGGCCACTCAAAACGCGAATCCCGCCATCGACCTCCTGGTTTGTCTGGAACGGCGAAGACCTATCGGGTTTCGATATCACGAAGTAACCAGGTCAGTCGTAATCCATCACGGGGCCAAGGACACACGGGTTCCACTTGACAACGTGCGTTGGCTGCACGGGGTGATGAAGCGATGCGAACTACGAATCCTGGACGGCGAAGGGCACGGCCTAATGGCAAGCGCCTCGGCCATGGCCACGGTCCTAGGAGAGATCGCCAGGGAGTGGGAAGAATGGGAGAAGATTGCGCAGGGCAAGGAAAAGAGGAAGAGAAGTGATGCAGCCTCTACTTTCTCGAGGGGGAGGTCGTTCCACAGTAGATTCGTGGATGCCTCGTACCGAGAAGCAGCATCGCGGGACTCCTGACAAAGCTGGAAATGGTTAGGATTGGACGCGCGAGGTATGTCGAAAGGAGGGCGAACTTCTCCTGAAGACCTTTTCACAATGGAGCCAGGCCCCCCTTATGGACCAGTCCACGCAACAGCACCCGGCGACGGCTAGGTGTTACCTAATGGGACTTGGAATTGGAAACGGGCAATGATAGCGAATTTGGCTATTATACATACGGTAACGGGGTAGCAGATCAGCTACAATACTCGGGACCTTTAAGATTAATCTAATCCGCCCTCGTCCGGGCTTCTGGAATTGAATAAAGCAAACATGATATGAACAGCGAGGCACAGACTTCTAGACCAAAGCGTCCTTGATGAGAGCTTTCCCACCTGTCACTGATCTGACGAGGCTGGTTCTCCCTTGTCTTCCCTTCTCCACACCCATGCGCGCTTGTTCCCGGCACTATGTGTCTACCTCGTACATAGTCCCACCCTCCTCCTCCAACGACCGAACCTAAATCTCTTGATCGCACCCCACCTGCTCGATCACATACTTCGAATACGGTCATGACCACTGGGTAAACAACTACTTGTTGGGCAGGTTCCTCGTACTTTTCGGCACATGTCCAGCATTCCGTCTGCCCACCTCCCCTTCCCTTTGAGTCTACCTCTCCCCCAGTCCTTATAGCGCTTGCGATGAGCAAGGTTCCCGATGCCTGGGAGGACGAGTGGTCCAATGCGGCCGATGTATGTGATGCGGTCCTTTCTGACAGCCCTTTCTTCGAGTCGCTAAGCGTTATTTCCCCAGGAACCGCCACCTGCTCCTTCGGAACCCAAGAAAGTCTCGTCAAAAGTGACAAAAGCCCAGCGAAGGGCGCAGCAGGCTGAATTCAATCGCCGGCTGTGGGCAGAAGCGTACGGGGTTCCCCCCCCCCCCAAAAAAGAACTTCTTCCGCCTCATAGTCTGTATACTAATTCCCAGGTTTGGCCTGACTGCAGTGAAGGCCCTAGGGAAACCAACTACTTCCTCGAGTCGCGCAACGTCGTTCCGCTGCGGTCCGAGTTCAAACCCCCTCCGATCCTCCTCTCGAGAAAAGGACCCATAGTACAATCACAGTCACCACGACCACCTACTGCCGGTCTTCAAGATCTGAGCCTGAACAGTGATAAGAATAATTCCGCTGACCGCGAGTCGTCCGAAGACGAAGAAGAGGTCAAGGCCCGCGAACTCTCTGTCGCGGAACGACAGGCCCAAGCCGCCAGGGACCGGGAGGAGAAACAGCGCAAATATGAAGAACGGAGACAAGAACTGTTCGGGACCTCTAGTACCAGTACAACACTGTCCACTCACCAGCAAGGCGGCCATAACAAGTCGGGAACCTCCAGTCCCGGGAGTCTAACTCCGCCAGGTTCAAGATCCGCGACGCCAAATCGCAGTCGAGGTGGCAGAGGAGGGCGCCGCGGAGGAGCAAGTACGGCGGGGAACCACAACATAAACTCACGAAATCAATCAAGAGGCGGATCTCAACATCGGGAACTATATGACCCCTCATACGCTCCAAAGCCAGATTCGGCGTACATTCAGCGACGGGAGCGGGAGAACGGACTCGGAGGGCTCCGCGATTCCTCTGGGGTATCTCAGCAGCAGCAGCAGAGTCAAGAACCAATCCGGGCACCGAGAGGGCCAGACGGGAGTGGCCGAGGCGGCTTTGGTTTTGTGACAAAACCGACGACGACGACGACGACAACAACAACAACAACAACAACGACAACCATGCCTGTGCAAGCCGAATTGGCCAATATAAGTCCCGGTGCTATAGCCACAGAGGATGCCACTCCTTCCGTTTCCGTCGACGATACGATGCGGACGCCTTTATGAGCGACTCTCCCTCTTGGCGCTTGGGCGAATCGGGTTGGGAACAACAAGTACCACTTCTAAGACTTCTGAGACCAAGTCCAGCCTAGATCCTCCGACCAAACGAGCGTCTTGTTTAAGGAAGGAAGGAAGATAGGCGGAGGTGTATTGGAGTTTTGACGCACCGTAGACGGTACTTACATGTGTGTATTGGCTCCGCCCTATCCTACCTGAACGTGTACAGAGTACACACAGCGTGCTTTCTGGGCAATGGACAGCGAGCATGGCAACGAATGGCATGTCGAACGCCATCAAGCCCCCAATCCACCGTTCCAGCGCCCATCACTGACGGTGTCTCTTCCTACCTCGAGGTCCTTCCTAGTACCTTGATAGCTCCCATCGCCCTCGTTCTCGCCGTGCTAATCGTTGTTGTTATGGCTGCTTTTGTCTCGCTTGGTCTCTCGTTTTCTACGTGTATGGAGTAGCTTATACCGACTATTTATATGTATGTAGCTAGCTAGCTCCTCTGCTCTGTCCGTACCTGGGTTCCGCGAGGCGAAGGATAACACGACAGAAACACGTTACTACACACTGCGACGTGCACGCGTAGTCTTCCCCGGGTCGCCGGACCCTCAATTGAAAGTCCCAATGATTGGCTTATCTGCAGAATGTAGACACGGTTGTGGTACTGTATGGTACGCCTTGGCTCCTCGACCTGTGCTTCGTGAGACGAAAACAACACGGTCCGGAAATCTGAGGATCGGTCATCCAGTCGTGGTCCATAGACAGGCTATCTGCATCGTATCCGCGTTATCCGTTTCACGTCTAATACGAGCATCCAGTGACCATAGAAAAGAGTAGACTGCGGCTCAAGGCTGCAGGCCCCCGGGCCCTCCATCGTTTCGTGTCAGGTCTCAATTGTATGATGGCTTTGTCACACGAGGTCATGGAACTGGGATGTACAGCTCGCCAGCCTTGCAACCCTCCGTGCAACAAACTCCCACCGTACTTTCACTTGCCGCGCTCAGATGAGGTGTTCAGGATACAGTCTGCCCAATACCGTCAGGATTATGGGCGGCCTCCTCCTCGGGCAAACGCCCCCATACATCACCGCCTAAGCCGAACCCCTCCTGCGCAACGACTTTCCTCGCATACTGAATCTCCACAATGGGCTTATGCACGTCTTTCGCGCACCATCCGTCCTCGCCCACACCTCTATACACGCCATGGTAAGAGTTTTCGTCACTCACGGTCCTTCTCACACGATCGTCCCCTTCAATAGCATCAACCCACTGCCTCCAGCGCGTGCCAACTTCCGGTTTGGGAAAGTTGCGATAATAGCTCAAGACGCGGGAGAGCCGGATGATCCAGGGCGCAAAGACCACATCAACAAACCCAATCTCATTGCCCAGGAAGAATGGCCCTGTCGCATGGCTGGCGTTGACCAACGCAGTGATGTTCTTTTGTAACGTGGCGACGAGCATGCTATGTTGCGCCGCTGACGCCGCGTTTGTGACTTGTGCGTGTGCATCGCCGTCGACTTGCATGCCGTCTAGACCCAGTGGCTGTTCGACGTTGGGCGAAGGAGGCGGAGTCAGCAGCAAGCTGTAAAAACTTGGGAGAATTTTGCGGTTGATATGGTCCGTCCACAGCCGGCAATGTGCTCTCAGTTGCGGGTTGCCCAGGGGCAGGAGGGAATGCCCCATAGATAAATCTTCGAGGTACTCCAAAACAACGCCGCTTTCCCAGACGCCCCAATTCCCATGTCTTATACACGGAATATTCCCTTCAGGGTTCACCTCCAACATCTCTGGTGGTCTGTAACTGTCGAGAGTTGCGGGCATTATTTCCACCATCTGATACGGAATACCCTTGATTTCTAGGGCGATCCAGATGCGTTGTGCGAAGGGGCAAAAGGAATTGGCGAAGAAGGTCATCTTTGTAGGGGCGGGAGCGGCGTGAGACCGGGCAGTGAAGAAAGCCATTCCAGAGGCTTTGAACGAAGGAGACGTCGACTCGTTGTTTGATGAGAATTGATCGAGGGAAGTGAGGGTGGGGATTTTCTAGTGAGGAATGATCAGTTGCGCTGAGCGAGATTGAGTGAGTACAAGTGGAAGACCCAAACAGATTCCGTTGTAAAACAACGGTGGGCAGGAGACTGGCCAGGGATAGAAACAGTGGAAGCGCTCGAATGGTCATGAGCTTTGGAGGAAACACTTACACTCAATCGCTTCTTCTCCTTTTCTTCCTTCAACAGCCACCGTTGCACGCTATTCTTCTTAATCCGATCGCTTTCTTCGAGAGTATGCTTGTGATCCAAATCGGAATTCAGATTGGGATCCAACAGGGAGTGATGTATTTCGTCTTCTGCGTCGCCGGTGGCATTACTGTCTCGTTTCGAGTCCTTGATAGCTCCACCCCCCGGGTTGCCTCGGACACGTTGAATGGTGAACCATCGTTTTCCATCAGCGCCGGGGTGGCCTCGCGGTAGAGGACGGGGAAGTTCGAGCAAGCCAAAATTCGGATCCATGGGGTTCGTAGAGTTGTGAAGAGAAGCACCACCACTACCAACGCCGCCTAGACCGTGGCTGCCGTCTTCCATCACAATGGTTAGTTCGCTGTTGTCTACGCCCCCATAAGTGCCCATATCATTCGGCATGGTACCGTTAGCATTAGCACTGCTGTCGACGCCGTTCGTGTCGTTCCCCGCCCCCAACCCCATTTTCCTCGCGTCCTCGGCACTGAAGTACTCCGTGATCTTGATCTTGACATCGCACAGATCTCGCTCCCGAGCCTGACGCTTGCGCTTCTGCTTGTTGGGATCATCACTCTTGGGGGTCCCACTGGGGCGACCCTTCAGTCGACAGTCCCAGTAGTGGCTAACGAAGGCCTTACGCTTGTATTTTTGAGTGGAACGATGGGAGTAGATATTGTCAACATGGGGAAAGTAGGTGAGGAACTCTTCTTCGGACAGCACCAGTGGTTGAACGATATTGAAAAGTCTGTTGCGCCACTCCTCGAGGTTTGGCGGGTGAAGAACTAAAGGGAAGGTGTCGCTGAAGGGGTTTGCCGCAATAACAGGGTCGGTTTCTCCGTTATCGTTGTTGGCGTTGGCGTTGGCGTTGGAGCCGGCATTGCCTTCAGTGGTGGAAGGGGTGTGTTGGTAATGGGACATCCAGGGGTCAGTTTGGACCACGCCATGTGGTGTGGTGTAGACTTGTGACTGTTTTGACGAAGATCGAGCAGGGGTGGGAGTGCCATTCGGATATGCAGACGAGGAGTTTCTGAAGACGAAGCCATTCTGCTTCTGGGATTGCGCCGGGTCTGGCTGCGCCTGCAAGTCATCCGGCTGCTGGCTCATCTGCGTGGCCTGCGTTTGAGGAGTCGTATTCGAAGCGACGCCGCCACTGCGAGACGGGGTGGTCGAGCCCGCGTTCTGGAAAGCTCGAGTCTGAGCCGACGTGGCAGGGCGCGCCTGCTGGGGACTGCGCATAGCGACATTCGCACTTGTACCGCTTGTATTCCTCGAATTATTGCTTTGTCTTCGAGTCTGGGTCTGAGAGTTGGGAGGGCTGTTCGTCTGTTGTGGCAGTAGGAGTGGTGGCAGGATTATGGGATAGGATTGGTTGTGAGGGCTGGCGTTGAGGGATTCAGCAGGGGCGTATCCAGCAGCGGCGGCAGCATCTTGTGAGGCGCTGTCATTCTCATTGCTGAAAGCAGGATATTGTTGTTGAACCGCCGCGGCGAAGGTTTGGAGAGTGTCGGCCTCCATTGCTAAAGGGCAATTAACGAGATGGAGGATGCGCAGGTTCAGGTTCGTGATAAAGCGGCGTGTCAGAAGGGAAGGCTGAGTGAGGGCTGAGAACAGAAAGGTGGAAAAGAAATTTGGCGATGACTTGGCAGAGTCCAAGCAGAGGCCCAAGGTTGGCAAGTTGGCAAACTCGGCCAGTGCCTCGTGCTGCACTCGTCATTTCAAGCCCAAGGCGTCATTCGAAATCCGCGTTAGTAAGCGGCGAGGCGGTCCATCCACTCGGCGATCCATCCCGTGACTGCCGCACGCCGTGATATACTGCGTACTCGATCCATAGCGACCTCCCCACTACTCTACAGGGTAATATTTTCCTCAGTCAGAGCCGTACCGTTCGAATACCGACCCTTGCGTCGATATGCGCCGGACCTTATTCCAAGCAAGGTGTGTCTGACCGTCAATGGTCTCAAAGATGGGACTGGCGTGCCGCGGAGTACCACCTCGTTGCACCTGTCCAATTCCAACCGTCACCCCATCTTCCTATCCTTTCTCTTGTCATAAGCTTGTGAGTTTTTGAATGGAAATCCCCACGTTCGCTTATCTGCCCCTGTCCTCTTCGACCGCCTGGCCTCCGTACTCCCAAATATCACGCTCCACAGTCCTACACTGGCCATAATCCCGTACCCCAGAGCTCCGAGCATGTACGCCGTTTGTTCGTAGTTCACGTATCGCATGTAGCAATATACCGTGCTGAGGCTGTGGAAAAACGTCGTAACCTGTAGTATCGGTCCGGCGTAGGGGGCCTTGGGATCGTTGTCCTCCAAGCTGACCGGCTCACTGATGCTCGATGACAATGGGATTGTGCCCGTAAAGAACATGGTTATCACCGCAATCAGAACTAGGGCAAAGCCTAGTGATCGGCTTAAATAGACTTCGACTTCTGTTTTGTTCGGGGTCCGAGGCTCGTCAGAGGGGCTCGTAACCGGGGAGGACCTCAGAAGCAACCGCAGAGGATGACCGCTTGGGTTGTATCATCTATGATTCTTACCTGAAGTCTGATGCCCGTCGTTTGCCAGCATCATGACGGCCAACTTGGGCATAAGAATCAGCAGTATTGCTTGCATACCGAGCCATATTGCTGTGCCATACGTGTAGGCATAAAACACCTGGTAACACGGCCCTGGGTTAGCGGGCATTATGGCGGTGGGTAAATCACGGTGACGACTCACATCCATCCTCGAGACAGGCACATTTGAGGTCAAGAAGCGGACTGATA